CCCCCCCCACCCCCCCCACCCCCGCACCACCAGGCCCTTACCTTGGTTATTTTTAACCTGAAGGGTGAGTTGAGCACTCTTGGTGAGGGCCACCTTCTCCTGCAGGCCAGATGCTTGTCCCCTGCTCCCAACCACGGGCTCCCCTCCCTCCTTTCCTCCCCAGCCTGTCCTCACACAGCCCAGGCTGGGAGCAACTCCCCACTCTCTCTGGACCTGGAGTCCCATGGTGCTGGGGACTGGCAGCCAGAGCCAGGATGCCCAGGGAGGGGCTCTACTTCCCAGATCCTTGACTCAGTTTCCTTTTGTCAGGAAAAGAATTGCCAGGCTGTCCTCTCTGCGCGGTCCTGGTTTCCTTCTGATCCCCAAGTCTGCAGGCAGGTGTCCTCCTGGGAACGTGAGGCTGCATTACTCGGGGGACACATCTGGAGGCCCCAGCCCCTCCCCTGCTGCTCCTGATACAGTGACCACCGTCTAACCGCTCAAACAGGGGAAGGGATTTCCCCACGCCACCAAAGCAGATTCGCACCCAGACCCACAGTCCAGCACCCTCACACGTGGCCTTGGCCACCGTGGGTCCGTGCCCATTCTTAAACACACGCGTACAGATATTTCACACTTACACACTTAAGTCTGCAGATTTTCCTTCTTGCTTTTATGCACACTGAAACACACATTTGCACACATAAGCTTTTACCCCTCCTCTGTCACCCTCTGCTCCCGGTGAGGGGCGGGGTAGGGTGGGGAGGGGCAAGAGGCGTTAATCCCAGGGCCTGAGGCGGGAGGGGGTGGGGGCTGCTCCCTTCCGCCTCTCTGGGCTGCCAGAGGGTGCAGGTGCTGCTGAGGCTGGCTGGGGTCCTGGCCGCCCCAGGGATTTACAGGAGCTGGGCCCCAAGCTCTGCGTTCTGCAGGGCAGGGGCGGGGCTCTGCCGTCTGCTCCCCCTCCCCAGGTAGAACCCCAGCGCTCCCTCCCGACCATCGTGGGGCTCATACTCACACATCCATCTTCATGGGTGTCCCCCAGCGCCCCAGGCCCTCAGGGCCCCCCTCCCCAGCCTCCAGTGATGCTGTCTCTCAGAGGCGGTAGGTGTCAGGGCTTCAACAGGCCATGCCTGTTATGACTAAGTGGACATTGTGTGCAGGGAACAAAGCCAGACTCCCCTGCCCTGGCTTGCCCTACACCCTCACACCCAGGAACGCTCTCCCAGCTGCCCCTCCCAAACCATCTCCTGTCACCTCTCAATATAGCTCTAGAGTGGGGAGGTGGGTAGGACGGACAGGGGTCAACTTCTCTGCTTTCCACCAAATATGTGGTCTCTCCCCCAATGCGCCAACTCCTTAGGACCCTCCACCGCCCCATTAATGGACTCAGGGATACATCTGTCTGCAGGGAACCTGTACTCCATATCCAGTGTCCTTGGGGGGACCTGAATCAACCCCACATTCCCGCCTCCGGCAGGTACATATGCCAAATTGTTCCCCCAGGGGATGCAAGCTACTTGTCCCCAGCTCTAGGTCACTGGAGGACCTAGCGTGCAAGCTGGGGGTCAGCCTGTGGCCCAGTGCGCCACTGCCTGGTTCCCATTGCCACGGGGACGTGATAAGGGGCTGAGAACACCAGGTCAGGCTGGGTCAGGCCCAGATGACAAAGACTAGGCTTTGTCCTCAGGGAACCCTATGTCCTGAGCAGGCCAGACTGGGTACAGGTGGAGTGGGGGTGAGGGGTAGGCAGGCAGTTCCCACTGTCTCCTGTGGAAGGAGGAGGAGGGGAGGGGTTAAATTGGTCCCAGGGCTCTGCTTCCCATCTGGTCTGGTTTGCCCTTCTCTCCCTTTCCTAGGTCCCCTTCTCTCCCCAGCTCTCACATCCATCCCTGCTCTCCGTCCTCCCTCCACTGCCTCCTAGAGCAACTCCTCATTCTGCTAGAAGTCCTGGCCAGTGAGGGCACGGGATGGAGACTGCTGCCACAGGGAAGGGGACGCGGAGGCAGGGCTAGCCTTGGCACCGGGTTGCCCCTCTTGTGCCTGGCTCCCTGTATGTCTGCCTCCCTTTCCCTCTTCCTGGTTCCCTGTCTCAAAGTTGGGCCTGGCCTCTGATTCTCCCTCGCACCACGTTTCTGCCCATCGCGGGGTCTGACATGCCTGCATTTCCATAAGTCTCTGCCTTCTCTAAGCCCACCTCGGTTTGCTCTCTGCCTGTCTCATCTCTGCCTCCACACCCTGCTCCAGGGTCTTCATCCGCTTCTCTCTAACCTGTTCTCCACTTTCCTGACTTTGCTTGCATCTGAAGGTGACCCAGGATTCTCTCCTTTGCCCAGTACCGCCCCACCTCGCTCTCCCAGCTTCTTGATCCAAGGCTCACCCTCCCTGTCTCCTCTCCAATCCTCTCTCGGCACCCTCCTTCTGTGGCTCGGCTGCCAGCCCTGTCAACCGCCCCCCATCCCCCGGTCTGCTGCCCAGTCTCTGGCTGTTCCTCAGCCTCTCTCCTCTGCTCTGGGAGCTTGGATTCTCTGGGCATCCCCTGCGTCTCCCATTTCAAGTGTGTCCCTCTCTTTCCTTCACTTATCTCCTCATTGCTCTCCAGGTCCTTCCTAGGAAGAGGAGCAGGGCTAGGCGAGGAGAGTGGAGGAGGATGTGAGGAGAGGACACAGCACTTCCTCTATCTTTTCTCTCTGTTGGTTTCCCTGGTCACCGTCCTCCAGGTTTTTGAACCCTCTCCTTCTCTCTCCACTACCCCACTCCTCAGGTCTTGCCTTTGGTTTTTTTGTGGGTTTTTTTGTTTGTTTTTTTGCGGTACGCAGGCCTCTCACTGCTGCGGCCTCTCCCGCCGCGGAGCACAGGCCCCGGACGCGCAGGCCCAGCGGCCACGGCTCACGGGCCCAGCCGCTCTGCGGCACGTGGGATCCTCCCGGACCGGGGCACGAACCCGTGTCCCCTGCATCGGCAGGCGGACTATCAACCACTGCGCCACCAGGGAAGCCCAGGTCTTGCCTTTTTCCTTCCCTACTCCCCTTCTCCCCTCTCCCTCTCCTCCCATTCTCTAATACTGGCATTCCCTTCTTCCCAGCTGCTGCATTGGGAGCTCAGAGCCCAGAATGGCTGTGTGTGGTGCATGGGGGAGATTCAGGCCAGGGCCTCCCAAGCCCCTGCCCTCTGTGGCCCATAGTCCCAGGCCTTCCCTGAGCAGCCCAGGTGTGGCAGCGACTCCAGGGGAGCTAGGCTTGTTTAGGTGGAGGGGAGCCTGCTCCTTCCTCCATTTTCCAGCCCTCCGGCAACCCATTCCCTCCCCTCCCTTCCCCAGGGTCCTGCTCACACGTGACTCTCCCCAATCCCTCCTCTGCCTGCCTCCCCTCCAGATGGCCTGCTCTAAATGGGCCAAAGGACCCCCGTCTTCCAGCAAGACCAGACGAGGAGGGTCTCGGGAACGGAAGCTACCGTGGGAAGTAACGAGGGAGAAGAATGGAGTGCCTTGGACCAAGGGCCAGGCCCCGGGAGGAGGTGAGGAGGAGAGGAAGGTGGGCTAGGGTACAGTTCTCCTGGTCGTGGTGGGGAGGTGGTTGGAGACCATGGAGGCTGTGTCTGGAAGGGGGTGGGCTGTGGATGCAAGTCCTTGTGTCCCTCAGATACCTGCCGCGGACGGGGGCTGGGGGCCCACCTGCCCAAGTGGGTCATGCCTCAGGGGGCACCCTTACACACCAAACCTCCTCCCCACAGCCCAGCTTCAGTATTGTCAGAGGTGAGGGTCGTGTTGATCAGATTTGGGGTGTAGGGCCATGCAGGTGGGCTCACTTGCTCTAGAAGAGCCTTAAGGGCCTCCCTAAATCTCCTTTACCTCCCAGGGTCTCTGGGCCAGGGAGAGGGCTGGCAGGAGAGGTGTCGCCTGCTGAGAAGGAAGTGAAGGGGAGCACCTGGCAGGGCTGCACCAGGATGCTCAGAGCCTCACAGGCTCCCTAGGGAGGCCTCTTGGGTCTGGACTCCTCCTCCGGAGCACCCACCCCCACCCCGCGTCCATGTCCCTCTGTTCCTGTGGCTGGCAGACTGCGAAGAAAAGTCTAGAGGCAGGATCTCACTTCAAGGAAAATTGCTTTATTCTGCTTCCTCCAAAGGGGCTGCTCTCCAGGCTCCAGGACTGGGAGCTTCGTTGCACCCTCAGGACGGGGCAGATCAAGGAGATGTGGCACAGCTACTCCTCGTTCAAGCCCTTTGGAAAGGAAACAAAGTCCAAACTAGCTCCGGAGAGGTGGGTGTTGGGCAGGGATGGGCACAGGCAACAAAGGGGAGATGGGCACCGATGGGGGCAGGACCACCGTGTGGCCTGAGGGAGGCCCCCTGGTGGTGGGAGATGGGTCCTAGGGGTCAGTGTGGAGGGCAAGTCCTGGAGGGTAGGGCTCTGGGGTCAGCTGGAGGGATGCTTCCTGGGTGAGGACAAGGGGTCCTCTGGGAGGTGCACCTTAGGTTGGAATTACAAGGTTGAAAGCCTAAACTAGGTGGAAGAGAAGTAGAAATAGCAGTTGGGGGAAATTGGGACACACTAGGTGTCTATCAGTTGGGGTCTTTGCTGACCACCCTAGGGCTGGGATTCACAAAATCATTGGTAGTCAGAATGGGAAGAAGCCTAGAAATCGTGGAGGACTGAGTTACCCCACCTCTGGGGTCGTGGGGTTCAGCTGTGGGGGTGAATGAAGGGGAGGGATGCTGGGGCGAGGGGCTCTGTCTGAGGGGGACCGATGTGTGTGTGGGCGCTGCCATGCAGGAAACCCACCTTGGCGCCGATGTCGCGGCTCTTGGCCCGCAGCTTGTTGACCTGGGACTCGGC